TGCCTACCTTGGTGCCCATAGCACGTACAGGCCGCATATAGATCTTCCTGTTGTATGTTCTATACACGCTAGATCTATGTCTGTACGTGAAGAGCCTTGGCTCTCTATGGCACCACCAAGGTAGTTCTTGGTCGCGCGAGCAACTATTAACTGGTAAGCAAAAAAAAATAAATTTTCATACCAATCAATTTATTTATTTTCATTTAACAAGTAAATAAATAAAAGAAGAAGAAAACAAACGTATGACGTAATTTTATATTTTAGCGTTTTTCTTTTCTTTGAAGCGAACGAGTAAAAGAAAATTTCTTTTTTTTGTTCATTTATTTCAAAGTATAGAAAAAGAAACGAACAATGAAAAAACAATTCAGTCTTATTCGATAGAAAATCGTTGAACACGATTATTATAATGATCGACGACATAGAGATTACCATGTCGATCAAAAGACAAACCAACGGGGCCGTCGAACTGATTGGCTCCTTCTCCTTCACCATTTCCACCCACAACTACAGCGCCTTGTTTCTTGTCTCGTTGAGTCCAGCGCATTACACGATGATTCAACGAGTCTGCTACATAGAGTGTACCCAACGTATCAACGAAAATTTTACTAGGAAGAGACAATTGTGTCAGAGCACTTCCTGCGCCTTGTCCTCCAGCGACCACAATACCTTTTTTTGCACCTTTATTCCATTTCACTACACGATTGTTATTGGCGTCTGATACGTACACTGAATGATCTCGATCGACAAAGAGATATTTCGGCACGTTGAGTTGATTGGGTTCATTACCTTGTTCATTACCACCAGCTACGAGAGTGCCATTCTGCTTACCAAATTGATATCGTCTTACTTCATGTTTATCGACGTCAGAGACGTAGAGATATCTCTGTTCGTCCATTGCTAATCCAAAACAATCGATGTTGTCGATGAGTATTTCACCTTGTGTTGTACCACTACGACGAGACCATCGTACAACTCTTCGATTCTCTTGATCACAAATAATGAGAGTATCCGTCTCTTTGTCAATTAATACATCAGTTGGACCATACAATTGATGTAATCCATTTCCTGGGTCTTTACCACCAGCAACAACTTGTCCATTCGTTGTATCACCGTTCTTCCATTGCATGATACGATCATTCACGTGGTCAGCAATAACCACTGTTTGATCATCATCAACGAAGAGACCAAGAGGGTCTCTGAGTTGATTAGTGGCACCCCCATACCCGTTATCTCCAGCAATAGTCACTCCGCTCTGCTTCCACGTGGCATTAGCAGGAATATTAACTAGAAGAGAAAACGTATAAGAATAAAATGAGATCTTTCTCTCTCTCGCGTATCGAGGTAAAATTCTTTGAATAAATCATTCCTTTTTTTTGCTAGAAATTCCTCAGAATAATCTATATACTGAAAGATTATTCTATAGCACAAGAATATAGAGTTCTCTCTAATGCTCTTTTTTCTTGCATCAAAATAGTTCTATATTTTGCTTTGTATTTTTTGAGAGTCTATATTTTCTATGAACATATATGAGCTTATCATATGCGTACGTTGCTGTATTATTTTCCTATCTTGAGGATGCCAATTTACAGTTGATTTTTGTTTAAATTTAACTTCGTGAAAAGTTAATATTTGTTCATAATAGTCAAAAAATTTCTCTACAGATTATGCAGAGTCCGTCAACTTTCTTGTTCAAAAACATCGGGATGCTCATAACTATATATATTTCATAACAAAATTCGTAGAAGAATGACTATATAGCTTTATCAAATATTTGACTTTAAATAGTAGCAATCAAGTCAAGAACTATGTTGATCTACTAGTTTTCAAAATTTAGTTAAATTTAAATGTGACACCCCTATTTCCTATGATCAAAAAATATATTTTTGGCTAGAATCTTTTTCGTTTTCTCTTATTAAATAGAACATTCCCTATTTAGAAAATCGCACATTTCTATGTTCTAGAATATCTTTTA